AGAAGACAAGCTCTCTCTTCCCCAGAATGACTCTTGATCCCAAGAACCTTGGATCTTAATCTTCCTTCCTCTCCTCCATCCTGCAGAGAAAAAGTACCTAGGAAACCTCATACTCTAAGATGAATGTAATGAATCCTGTGTTGCCTAAACCCATCTGATGGCATTCAGGCAGATTTGCCTGAATCACAGAGAGAGAGGGAGAGAGAGAGAGAGAGGATGAGAGAGAGAGAGAATGAGAGAGAGAGAGAGAGACTCCCCGTATATACCTTCCTCTACTGATTCCCTTGTCCTTGGCCGGAGGCCCCATCTCTGCCTCCAATGCCTGTGCAGAGCAACTAATGTAATTTACTGATTTTATTTGCAAATATAAACTCTATGGGATACAGAGACTCTCCCCCTGGTATGTTTGCAACCCAGATGTGTGCATGAAAGAGACAAGAGGAACAACCAAGGTGACAACTAGCTGTGTGCAGTGTTTTCACTGTAGCTTCTTGGGGTGCTTCCAGGCAAGCATTTTATCCCACCACCATCCTGCCTGATCCCCAGGATTTTGGGGTGGGGGGGCAGGGTTCTGATGTCGTCATCTTCAACTCATAAGCCTCCCTTTTTCTCCTGTTCCTCCACCTGCCTTTTCTCTTGCCACAGAAAATCTGTTAAGAGGAGAAGGGCAGAATAGCTGCACTGTCCCTTCTGGCTCTCAGCAGGAGGAGCCTTTTGTCTGGAAGCTCAAGGCTGAAGCTGTGCTGCCACATAGTCACTAAGCCAGGTGGAATTGTACTGGGCATGCGCGGTCGTGAAGGTGGCATTGGGAGAATCTTGCCCCAGGTTTGCTGATCCTTCTGGGAGTTTTGTCATAGCCACTTACCTCCTAGGTTAGGGCTATTGAACTGTTCTCAGTCCAGTGATTAGCTGGGCCAAGGGAAGCCACATGGCTATCTGGGGAACCCCAGTGGGCCAATGTTGACTCCAAGCAAGCCAGATTTAGCCAGTGATTCAACACCTTTGCCTTAGGTTCTCAGAGGGGAAAGAGCAGGAACAGGTGGGCTCTTCATCCTTCACCAAATCAAAGATACAGGCTTATTCCCACAGTCAATTGTTATAAGGCTACTCCTCCCTCCCTCCCTCCCTTTCTTTAAGAAAAAAAATGGTGATATGATAGAAGCAGCTTCAGCCATGGACTTCCAAGCAAAGCTAGACAAAGGACATTTTTGCGGTCTTTTCACAACACAAGGAAACTTCCTGGAGGCTTCCCATTCAAGCGCTCCATCTCCTATCCCTTGTGAAGAAATGCACTCACATCACAAATGAAAGTGATCTTTGCCACAAATGGACCCCTGACCCTGAGAATATACTGAGGCAGCCATGCCCTTGAGAAAATGAAATACACTTTCCAGGAGTCAGGCAGGGATTCTTAAAGATAGCAGGTTGTTCCCACTTCTCTAGAAAGGACGGGATTTCTGCTTCATTCGTTGCTTAGACTCCAGCGGGAAGGGGAGGGCAGGGAGATCATTTCTGCTGTAGTTCAAGAGCAGAAATTCACGCAGGCCCAGGGTCAACACCTTCAGCAGTTGCCAGGACCATGGTAGCCTCACAAGGACCCCTGGTGTGGCTGTCTGCCCTGGAGCCTTTGCTTGGCCCAGCACGGGGTTTCTCCGGGGTATTTTGTTGCTGTTGTTCCATGGTGTCATTTCTGACTTATGGCAACCCGATGGATGAAAGCCCTCCAAAATGTCCTGGCCTTGACAGTCCTTGCAAACCCATGGCTACTTGTGCCTTCAGTTCTCCTAACATTATTGCCTTCTCCAGTGAGTCTCACCTTCTCATGGTGTACCCAAAGTACAACAGTCTCAGTTTTGTCATTTTTGCTTGGAGGGTAAGTTCTGGCATGCTTTGATCTTTCTCTCAGTCCAGGGTATTCACACCACTGTCCTCCAGCACCATGTTTTGAACATCTCCGGTTTCTTCCTGTCTGCCTTCTTCACACCCACACATGGTGATCAGGAATACAATAGCTTAGATGATGTTGGCCTTGGTCTTCAAGGCCAGGGTATTTGGAGGAACCCAAAAGAGGCAGCCTGCAGCAACTCTCCACTGGTAAGCAACGGCTGGTAGAACAAGAAGGAACGGGGGAGGCAGAAGGGTCCAGAAGATATTTTGCCAAGGGCCCCCATCAAACATGCTCGCCCTGACCAAGCAAAAGATAGATCAGAATATGCTGGATAATTTACAGTAGGTTGTCTGGCAGCTCCACCTTTCAGAATTTCAACAATTACAAAGAAAAAAGAAGAACCACCACTGAATTAGGAAGCCAGATTCTTTGATCTGTAGTAATCAAGATGTAAGATTGTATTTTTATCATTCGGTCACCCGAATTCATACAGTGCAGTATATGAACGGTTCCACCCCTTCTGCCCCCATTTTGACCAGGGTTCCAGTAAAGCAGCTCCTGAAGTCTGCCCATACCTAGTTTAGAAATGTGTAGACGGTTCTGTCTGTGTACGAGGCTCAACCTTACATATGTGATGGTGCAAGTGATACCTCAAAGAACAAATGCTGGTGATTCGTTGCATGACCCTGGGATTCAACTTAAGAACTTTTTGTTGCTTTGGAGCCCAATTCTGTAGGAAGGGTGTCAGAGCCTTGCACAGTTTTCAATATGAAAGCCACTGCCACTCCCAGTAACCTCTCAAGGGTGTAGGTCAAAGATACACAAAGCTGCAGAATTGTTAATGTGAACTTGACCCGGGTCTGGCCAATGGCTGGATGGAAAACTATCTTGGAACACCAATGTATATTGCATTGAATTCCATTATGGAAGGGCAGGTGTATGTATGTAATTGAGAACAAATCATGTACAAAATGGCCACACAAGATCACAGTGAATCAGGACCGAGACGTATCCTCTAGCCCTGCAGTTCCACAGCCAGGACACTCATGCCTGCTCCGCCAAACTATTAGGATTTGGGCTGCTGATTTCTGCACATGGGAAAAGAGGATGGGAGCATGCGAATCATCTTGCTGATTAAAACCCAACATCCATTGCTTCTAAATGTGTGCATATATATAAAATCAGCATATAGAGATTTGTATGCTATAAGCCTGGACCCTGAATCTTTTAAGTGCATAGCAACTCCCCATATAAGTCACAGACACAACAAAAGGTCACCCCAGGACCTGCTGCACTGCTGTGGGTCATTCAACACCTCTGCACTTGCCAAAGCATCCCTTTAAAGAGATGGGACAGGAAACAAGCAGATGGAGGCAGGGAAGAAGCAAAAATCCCCAGTAGAGGAAGCAGAGAATGGAAAGGCAGTGACTGGAAACAGACAGAACAAGCCACCTCATTACTGGACAGTGTCAGGGCATACTGGTGTGGCGCTGGAGGAGCAGCAGAATAAAAGTGCCACTGTTATCATCATCCTCATCCTCATTGTCACGTCCATCACAACACCCTCGCCATCCAGGTCATTGGAAAGACAGCAGTGGCCATGCAATGGATCAGAGAATTTGCTTACCCACCACGTGCCTTTGGGGCCGAAGAGCCTTTGAGTCGGATTGTGGGGTTGCGCCCACTGAGATCTGTTCAAGTGTCTAATCCAGCCCTACCAACCAATTAGGGAGATGGTGAATCACAGCAGAACTGCAGAAATGAGCACACCTATGGGAATGATGTACTGCAATCAAGGTGAATCAAAGCCACTGAAAATATGAATAGGTTGTCCTTCCACTTGGACCAAGAAGCCACACAAACACCATTTATGGGGCCCATGAAGTTGTCCAGGTCCTGCATGAAGAGCACAGAACAAACTTGAGAGGCAGTCATGTAACCTCCTCCCCACTGACCTCATACAACCATAAAAGGCCACACCACCAATAAGAGCGCAGCCGACCTCCAGTGGAATGAGTCCATCCTGCTGTGCGGAATCCAGAGCAGGGCTCATGTGATATGCCAGACATCACCGCCTAGAGGAAGAAGTGGGGAGATCACTGTCCTTTCCCCTCAGCCAGCTAAGGAAACATGAAAAGCCCGTTCCCAGTTCAATATCATATTCGTTTGAGCTAGGGCAATCATCTTCCATTTTCATAACCTCCAAATTCACCTTAACCCCAAACCTGCAAAGATAACCTTCATCTTAATGGTTCTTTTTAACCATGTGCCTATGAATTATCGGCATAGTACCTCTTTTTCATTCCATTGTTCCTTACCCTGTCTTTCATCTCTCTTCTCTTACTTCTCTTACTTATCTTTCTCTCTGTGTGTTGCTTCCTCTTCCATCTCCCTTTTTTCTCTTTGTGGTTCTCCATCCTTTCATATTCTCTCATTTCTCTCTCTTTCTTGCTCTCTTTCCCATCCTCCTTCATCTCACATTTCCACAATCTCTTCTTTCTTTCTTTTGTTGTTACTCATTCCCTTTCATCTCTCTTCCCCTTTCATGCACATGCACAACAACACTTTATTCTCTCTCTTCTTTAAAAAAGTATTCTTAACAAAAACCAAAAAGGTCAGGATGCGACCCATCCCTGTGCTCAAAGCTACCTGTTAAAGACCTATCAGAGCAGCCCAAGACTGAACTACGACTGCCACTGTGATGCCAGAGGGGAACACCAGACAGAAATGATGATAAACGTGCCGCTGCGTTTCTTCTCATCTTTGAAGAATGGCAACCAGCTCTCCCTCATTCAGACTGAGGAGGAACTGCGTTCAGCCCCAGAACACAGCCACAAAATTGAATCACTCGGAATAACCTGAAGCTCAGAATCAGCAGAAAAGGGGGAATATGGCAAACGGCCTCCAAAGGGCGCCCTCTTCCCAAATTTGCTTTCAGCACAAGTAGCCACCAACGAGTACTGGACTGGATGTTGACTTCTAAAGGAAAAGCCAGCAGCCTGAAATTTCCAGTTGTGCAAACTAGCCTGAGTGGACTGTAAAATAAAAAGAAGACACACAGATAGGCAAACAGCAAGTTTCTCTTTGCTTCCAGGCTGTTTTCTCCCAGACTTCAAAGCCCATCCAAGTGACTTGCATCCCATGTGTCACTGAGAGTTTCCAGCAGGCGCTGACGAGCCAGCGCCCTTCGGAGATGCATGCGATAATCCTCCATCACCAGGTCATCCCAGCGTCGTAAGGCAAAGTGGGCTTGGGCCAAGGTCAACCCTGAACATAGGAGCTGGTTCCGGGTCCGGAAGTCTGACACTGTGATCAGCCACCTGCGGAGAGAGTGGGAACGGGGAAGCAGAAGTGCTGTGGCTGATCTCGCCTCACCAGGATAAGCAGAGGAGGGAAGTGCAGCACTTTCCGTCAGGGCTAGCATAGCATGGGCACCTCAGGCATGTGGGCAAATCTGGCACTCCAGGGGTCCCAGTATGGCCAAGCCCTCTCCTCTGGTTCCACCCTGCAAATGATCCTACACAAATTTACCCATTTCGTAAATTATTTTTCCCATTCAAAACTTCCCAGAAAAAAATACACCATTGACCTTCAGGCTAAAAAGTTCCCCACCCCTGATTTAACTTCTTTCTAAGGTCCCTTCACATGTTTATTATGTGTAAGTCACTTCAGTTATGTGTCCTTTTCTACAGAGGTTGGCTCTCTCTTCGAAGCAATCCTCTATTTGAAGGGTTGTCCTGTCCAAATCCATTTGAAAGATAAACCTGAGGAGGAGGTGACGTGTTTCCTTTTCCCAGTAATTCATAAGCGGCCTCCCTGCTTCAGTGTGTTATGAGGAAAGACCCAGAGAATCATGAACCATGTGGCTTGCAAGGGGCCAGGACTATGGGCTGGATGGTGCCACATGCCCTGTAGATCAAGCTAAGGCTCCCAGTCCTCTGTGCTGCCGAAGCAGCTGGCTGGAGGAGGTGCAGACATCTCAGCCAGGAGTTTGCCCAGGGACCCAATCATCCTCTTGGCCTGGTAAGTCACGTGATGCTGAACAGTCAATTGAAAGCAACTGAGGGCTATAAAGACTCGCAGATCTGCAGATTTCTCTAGGCCACCAGAGATTTTCTCTTGGCAACTAGGAGGGACAGGTTGGCTGGGGGGGGGGGCACGCTGGACCACCTCCTCCACTGTGAGACATCTGGTAGCCAGCTGACCAGCCGGCCGGCCACTGTTCCACCTTCAGAACCTGACATTAACACAGGGAAGGAGAAAAGTTCTTTGGGTTTCCTACGTGCAGAAAGAAAGATAAGGCTGAAAACCAGGCTGATGGGTTTATGGGGAGGGCAAAGAAAACAACTGGTGGATGAAGTGGGAGGACTGGGTAGGCCTGACCTGTTCTTCCGTCCAGCTGTCCCACAGATCACATTGATGTTCTCAAACTGGATGCTGCGCAGGAGGCCTGACTCAAACGCATTGGGAATCGCTGCTTCCACAGCTGCCAGAACTTCGGCATGATTCATCTCCTGTTCGGGCTAAGAGGCAAAGGGCCTGCTCAGACTTCAGATTCCATTCCCACATGCTCCCACTCGCTAGGAACGACTGCTTCCTTCCTAAAGGAAGTCTCTAATGTGAGATTGACAACAGCCTCCCAGTTGCACTAAAAGCCAGGGACACGGCACTCCTTCGCATTGCTAGCCATGCTACAGGCACACGAGAGAGACCGTACACAAACAGAGAGCACAGGAGGCAGGGGGCTTGTGAGGCTCTTGGAGACTGGCCTGGTGTAGCTTTCCCAGTCTAGTGCCCTCCAGACGTGTTGCTCCTCCAATCCAAAGCTGTCTGGAAATGATGGGGTGGCAACTTTTAAAACCACTCACTGCTGCAGCCACAGCTGCAGAGCTGTTCTCGTTCTGTGGGGCCTGCTGGCTTATGAGCCTCAAAGAAGGTCACTGTGAAGGTCACATTTGCCGGCCACGGAAACCACGTTTGACTGCCCTCTCAAAGCCCATAGAGGCAGAGGTGTGGGGAACCACTCCTGGCTGGCCGAAGCACCAGGCCGCTTCGACTAGAAAGGGCGGTGGCAGAATTTGCCATCCTCTACAGGTTGCTTTGTTCTCTCTGAACTTGGCTGTGAACCTCACAGTGGATGAAGGGAGGGGAACTAAACTTTCCTAGCAAAGATATATTGTTGTGCACAATCCCTGTGGTGACGGACAGAAATTTGGCATGGTTTGGCCAAAATTAATTGAAGTAACAATTAAGACCCATGAGCCTTCCAAGAGACCCACTCCTGATGGAGGCAAAAACTGCTAGGAAGTTTCATGCTATGGATCAACCGTGTCTAGCTTTTCTGAACTCTCCTTGGGGCCGCAGCTGTGGGGACTAACACGATGACCACGCCTTCAAAAATTTACCACTGAACTGCACAGAACGCCTATGACTGCCAATTGCTGGAGAACATGGAGGCAAAAGATACTTGGCCCGAGATCCCTCCAAAGGACAGTCCTGGGCCTGTCCTCCATGACCAGCACCACCCAAGCAGGACTGACCGGGCTTTCCAGGCAGAGGCAAAGGGGCCGGGCAGCTGGTGGCCTGGGGAACTTGCGAATACAAGGCATCTCCATGTCCAAGGCTTCATACTCAGCAATGATCCTCTTCAGGTATTGCCGCCTAGGGAGAGAAAGAAGGGTGGCTCTGGGTGGCCTTGAAGTGGACGGGGCAATACCTTCGTGGAGGAGAAGGGCATCCATGGCTACTCGCACAGGTGGCTACATGCTGCCTCCAGCGGCAGACTTGGGTGGGAAAGGGCTGCGGCGCTTCTTGGCTGCCTGTGGGATCCTGTGGGCCGCTTGTTGGCCACTGGGTGAGCAGAGTGCTGGGTTCGGTGGACCATCAGTCTGGTCCAGCAGGACTTAATGGCACACTGGAAATACTGATAGATCGACATCAGAGTGATAGTGCTTCTCTCTTCCCAGCATGCTGCGAAAGGGGAGGGATCTCAAATAGCAAAATCCCTGCAATGTTCAGGATTCTTTGGAGGAAACAGTGACCATTTTGGTGGAATAAAGCCAGGAAATGAGTTCTGTGAAGAGAGACGTGCTGTTTCTGAAAGCACTTTTGGGTATTACTTAAAGGAAGTGCCAGCAGCAACAGGCACAATTGGTTTCATTTGGAATATCGTGTACAGTTGGACGAAAAAAAAAACTCATGAAGTTGGAAAAGGTGATAAAAGAAGTGTTGGCCACTGGGAAAAACAGGATGTTGGGATGGATAGGCCTTTGGCCTGATCCAGCAGGACTCTTTTTAGTTCTTGTGCTCTTCACAACTTATCAAAACAATCATGAATAACCTTAGATCCTGTTACTGGCTTTTCCTTCATCAGGCAGATGGCTTGTCAACAGCAAAGTATGGTTGGTTGATGTTTCCTTAGTGGGACCTACTGTTTGGGAAGTCACAGGCCGTGTGTGTGTGTGTGTGTGTGTGTGTGTGTGTGTGTGTGAGAGAGAGAGAGAGAGAGAGAGAGAGAGAGAGAGAGAGAGAGAGAGAGCCATGAGAGCTTCTCAGAGTTCCCAGCTAGGGGAGCACGCATGCCCGCCTGTACAAAAAAACACGTTTGAAGTTTAAGAGAGAGACAGCTGAAAGATGAACATGAGAAGCCTGGAGAAAAAGAGAAGTTCTCAGAGGTGCCAAAGCAAAGCTTGCTTATTTAAGCCTAATGCATTTTGGAGACTGAGGCATTTTCATCCAGAGAAGATGGCAACGTGAATAACTCCACACATAAACTTCAATGCATAATTGTAAGTAGTATAAGAGAATAAATGCCAAATCCGGGCAAGATCCAAATCCAGCCTTCTGGGCTTCACCAGATGGTCACACCCCCTTCCCTTGGCTGTGCCCCCTTCCCCTCAACCATCTATTGTTTAGCAGTTTCCCAGCTTTTTTGCAGTTCTTCCACCCCTGCTCTTAAATCTTGAAATACCTCTCCAAAAGTATAAGAATATTAAGCTACAATAGGCCACTATTTTTGGCATTGTCCTTTCTGGCTTTTGCTCCACTCATCAGCAGAAGGCATCCAGGCAAAAGAGCCAAGCATCACCACTGTCATGATCCCTACTCTTCAGACTATCCAGAATGTCTCAGGGGAATCTGATGGGGATGAAGCATAGTCCACTTCCTTGGACAGGCAGTGTGTTTTTCAGAGCCCTCCCAGCTAGTGAAGTCAGCTTTGTTAACATCCTCTGGCTCAGGGGATGGATCCCCAGTAGAACCTCTACATCCTCAGCTTCACAGAACTCTCAGGCTACAAAATCAAGTGAGGGTCCACTCCTCCAGGAGCTACAGAACTTGCCAGCCTACATAAGGCTCCAGTTGACTTCAGCTCCCTGCTGAGACAACATCCTCCTATTGTTAAGATGGGATAGAGTTCCAGCCAGCAGGGCTTGCTTGGAGCTATCCAAGGCCCTATTTATCCTTGTCTTGATCTGCCCTCCTGCCTATGAGCCTCAAGGGACCACAGAATGCAAGGGCAGCCACTTTTCTCCCCCTGTAGAAAAACCCATAGCTAGTTAGTGGCCTGGTTCACACCAGGGTTGGGATGAGCTCTTTTGGAATCTGTCCCTCCAGAATCTGCAGACTTCCTCTCATACTTGGGCTGGTCCTTCAAAATGAAAGGAACCACTTTGCGCAACCAGCAACCTTCCCAACTGCCATTCCAGGAGGCCAAATCTCTTCTCCACTCACTGCTGGTGGTGGTGGCAGCAGCTCACGCAGAAAAGGGGCACACTGAGTGGGCATATCAGCTGCCATTCTCCAGCGGCCAACCATGGGGCTCAGTTCTTGGCAAGGCCCTGCAAACCCTGGGTGTGCTTGCCAGGAACCTGAGCTCTGCATCACCACAAAGCAAACTAGAAGCTGAAACCAGGGGATCTGGTGGATTTTCTGCACAATATGCCTTCCTCACTCATACCTAATTCATGCATAATGGCAATCCGGAATATAGGTTGAACATGGGTTATCACTGAATCATGGGTTGTTGTTCTGTCTGAACCCTCCACTATGGTGTAACTTCTTGTTGTTACGTGCCATCAGGTAATCTCTGACTCATGGCAACCCTATGAATGAAAGCCATCCAAAATGTCCTAACAATGATGCCCCTGCTTAGTTGTTCTAAATTTAAAACCATGGCATCATTCCTGGAGTCAATCCATCTCCTATTCAGTCTTCCTTTTCTTCATCCTTTGACTTTCCCTATTTATTATTGCATTTGTTTGGAAGCCACCCATTTTGTTCTCATATCCTGCCTGAGGGCTTGCCACAGACTTACGGCCACAGTGCTGAACTAGATAGTCCTTTGATCTGATCCATCACAGCTTTTCTTACGTTCTTATGTCTACAATGTACAGGTAAGCAGTATCGTGCATGAGTTCTTTTCGATGTAGTTATGAAAGCTGAATGCAGAAGTGGATAAACCTTTGGTCTGATCCATCACACTTCATCTTATGACCAGAAAGTCTTTTGATCTGATCCAGCTGGTTTTTTCTTAGGTTCTTATATGCAATAAGACGCCAGTTCAGAAGGCCGGGGATGGTGCTGAATAGCTAGAGAAGGGGCCACCACCTTCCAGCATATGCCATCTAAGCCACTGCCGAATGGGAGGGCCAGCGCAGGTAACATTAGAGCTCCGTAACACAGTGCTCTGTAACACTCACGAGGTTTTACGTGGAGGCGGGCAAGGCTGTTCCAGTTCAAGGTTACCGCTTGAAGAGGTTACCGCTTCACTCTCAGTTTCCAGTACCAGGGAGGCTGAGGGCAAGGAGAACTGTTAATGGTCAAAACTTAAACTCACATCCTCAAAAAACATAAACACCTTATGCTGGCCCTATCAAGCCCAGCATCCCATTTCCACTACATTTGCCCAGATGCTTCCAGGAAGCCCATGACAATCCATCCCTCAGGCAAGTCAGTCCTGCCTTGACTGGACCCTTTCATTATGAAGAGAGTAACATTGTATTGTTGGATAATTCACCTGGAATAGGTACACATGTGCACCTGTTTCCTTTATTTATTTATTTATTTATTTATTTATTTATTAAAACATTTTTATGCCGCCCCATTCGCCGAAGCCTCGGGGTGGCTTACAACAATAAATTAAAATAATTATAATCTTAAATTAAAAATATAAACATTAGATTAAAATACAAAAATACAATATAAAATAAGCCACCCTGGCCAGATAAAATTCAATAATATTAACATTTAAAATGCCGCTTAAATAAAAAGGTCTTCGCCTGGCGCCGAAAAACAGATGCCAAACCTCCTTTTTAGGACTTTGAAGGAAAGGAATTAAATCTAAAACAGCAGCTCGGTAGTTTGAGGATGCTCTCGGATCCAGCATTGTCATTAGACTCACAGGTAGCTATGGAGGTGCACAGCAGTTGCATCAGCTTAGGCTGATATGTCAAAACCTACAACCCTATGGAGCCAGTGTGGTGTAGTGGTGAAGAGCATGGGACTGGGACTCAGAGGATCTGGGTTCTAGTCCCCGCTCAGCCATGGAGCCAACTGGGTGACTTGGGGCCAGTCACAGACTCTCAGCCCAACCTACCTCACAGGGTTGTTGTTGTGGGGATAAGATGGAGGAGGAGAATGATGTAAGCTGCCTTGAGCCCTTTGTAGGAAAAAGGCAGGATATTAAAAAAAAAAAAATAGTCTGCTACAGTCACCCATGCCCTGGCAGCCAGTTACTGGATTACTGCAATGCACTATACATGGACCCAGCTTTGAAAATAATCCATAAACTTTGGCTGGTCCAAAACAGGGCTGCTAGATTGTTATTTGAAATTGGCCAATATGATCATATTATTTATTTATTTGGAGAACTTATATGTCACCCCATTTGCATAAGCCTCAGGGCGGCTTCCAAACCAGTCCATTTCTGGGCCCAATTCAAAGTGCTACTATGAGCTTTAAATCCTGAAGATTTGGGACCAGGTTGTCTTCATGCTTTAAAAGTCCCAACTTTCAGAGTCTCCTCCCATATCTACCTTCCCAGACCCTAAGATCTTCAGAAGCCCTCTTCTAGGTGTCCCTAAATATGAGATGAGGACCCTTTCAGTGGAGGTATTGTGGTTGTGTGTCGAGGCGTGCAGCCCAATATGTAAACAATCCACACATTCTAGAGCAATAAAACTAAAGTCCTTTAATGCTAATTGTCTAAAAGATTTACAACCCTATAGATAAGTTCCCTAATAGCGGTCCTTGCTAAGCAGATGTTAACTCTCTAATGGCTTCTTTTCCCAAGCCCACATGGGATCACTCTCCCAAGTCACGCCTTTCCTCCCTCTTACGTAATAAATTTTGCCGCTGTTCATATCTACATAAAATCTGTCTGTTTTTGGCTTTTGAGAAATCCACAACACCTATTGTGTCTTCTGTTTCCGGCTCAGGGAGATCAGCATCAGAGGGGGAAGAGGCAGTTTGCTCTGCCTCCTTCTGAGTAGAACTTGCAGCTTCCTCTTTCTCATGACTCTCCATCTCTGATAAAGGTCCAGGGGTTTGCTCAACGTGCTGGGAGTCAGAGGAAGACACAGCAGCTGGCTCTGCTGTCCCTGCGTTGGGTTGTGGAGTCGACTCTTGGGCACTGGGTGTCAAGTGCAAGGCCTCCTCATGAATCACTGTTTCTGTCGGGGCTTCATGCACGACATTGTGGAATACATGTCTTCCCCAGAAAGGGTCACCTGACACCTATGTTGTGGTCTTTTCAGTATAGCTGAAGATCTTTCCCAGGCCTTTAGTTTTGCACTTTTCTTTTTAAACATGTGTTCTTGTGCTTCTGAATCTTTCCCTGCTTCAGGCTTTTAACTCTACTTAAAAAAAAAAAAAAAACATTTAAAGGTTTTATATGATCCTTTATCATGTTGCATTTTAGAGATGCAGTTTTTGTGAACCACACAGAAAGCTTTGGTTGTTGGGCAGTATAGAATGTAATTTTAAAAATAAATAAAAGAAGAAATAAATGTCAGAAACAAGGGGTCCAAGTTATCTTTCACGAGACTGATTTCCAGCTTTATCTCCCACTTTCTCCTTTATTTTCCTCTTCCTCTTTCCCTCTTTCCTCATACTTGCTCCAGTCCTAGTATAAATTACTTTCTCTTTTTGTGATTGAGAGCAGGGCACAAATAACTATATAGAAAATATTCAAAAGTGAGGGTAAGAAACCAATGGCAGACAGGAACTAGGAAAAAAGGCTTGTGGTCTTTTTAAAAACCTCCACCACCTGCTACCCACAGGCTGCTCCCCCTGCTTTAACAGTCACCCCCGTTTTGCTCCCAAACTCACAGTCTGTGCCTCACAGTCTGAGCTCGATCACCCAACTTCTGCTTGGCTCCTGCCTGCCTGCCTGGTGATGCTACAGCTTCCTTCACCTCCACACTCCACTGGCTCCTTCCTTCTGGTTTCCTGGAGCAGGTTCAAACTATGAACTGTGTTTAGACTGAGCCATTACTGTAAAAGCGGCTGCTGACAGCCATCAACATCTTCGCATGGGAAGTCCATTGATAAAAAGATGGGAGAAAGTGAGGAGGGGCTGGGCAGCTGCAGAAGCCATGAGGCAGAAACCAAGAACTAGAGGGACAGAAGGTGCTGTTCCCTGATCCTTACCTGGTTCCCACTGGCTGCTGGAGCCAGAATGCAATTTAGCTGATTCGCTCTCATTGTCCTGCATCTTCGGGGCAGGGAAAGAGGAGCTGGTTAAAACGGGATGGATATCTGAAATATGACCTCTGCCTTTCTCCCCTGCCCCACACACTTTCAATGAAGATAACCTCACTTTTGCATCGATCTTCTGCCCAAAAATCCAATTTTCAGGTATTTCCTAAAGGGGAAAGAGTACATACATCACACCTTTTTCAATTTCAGGATATTGCACCTCAAGGTCACAGAACAAATCTGGCCCACTTAGAGTCCCAGCTTGGCCCTTTGGGGTTCCCCAGAGCCCCCCCCCCCCCCCCCCCCCCGCATCCAACCACCAGTCGTTTGGCGCTTTCTCAGCTTTTGGAAGATTCTTTCCCCATTCTCAAAGGCTGAAACGCCTCTCCAAGACTCAGTTACTCGTAGCGGTTGTTGTTGTTGTTGTTGTGTGCTGTCACATTGTCTTCAGCTTATGGCAACCCGGTGAATGAAAGCTCCCCAAAATGCCCTATCTATAGTAGACCTGCTCAGCCCCTATAAATTCAAGGCCGTGGCTTCTCTTATGGAGTCAGTCCATCTCATGTCTGGTCTTTTTCTTCTTCCCCCTTCAACTTTCCTTAGCATGCTTGTCAGTTACCTACTGGCAGATGATCAGTTAGCTACTGGCAGTTACCTACTGGCAGTAAAAGCTTCAAGCTACAATATCCTGGTATTTTTGGTGTTTTGATTCTGCTCCTTTTGCCTTCAGCCTCACTCAGCTTTGGAATGTGACTCAGGAGGACTTCTCTGCAATTGGATTAGGACCTCAGGCTGAAAGATGTTCTGCACCCATTTTAGATGCTGAAATTCAGGATGTTGCCCTTTTCCCTTAATGAATGATGAAAATGATAGCCTGCTACTTCTCATGGGCAAGGACGCAGTTAATTTAAGGCACTCTCTGCCCTAAGTGCTGGTGGCATTTAATGGCGTATTAGACAAATCCAGGGCAGATCAGGCTGTCAGTGGTGACTGCTCGTGATGGCTGGGTGCTGGTGCCTCCGGGAACAAAGACAGCAAGCATGTCACTGAATGCCAGTTGCTGGGGGACATGAGCAGGAGGGTGTTGTTGCCCTCTAATCCAGCTTGTGGGTTTCCCAGAGGAATGCGCTTTCTGTGAGAAACAGGAGGCTGGGCTAGATAGGCCTTTGGCCTGATCCAGCAGGTCTTGCCTTATTGCTATCTTCCTCGGAACAGCCCTGGGAGGTTGGTGCAGATCGCCATCCATTGTCCAAATGAGAGGCTGGGTGAGACCGGCAGTAGGTCAGCCAGATTCGGCGCCAGGTTCTGGGGGAGGGGCGGGACAAGGTGTTCACAGATCAAACCTGTTCTGCACCCTCTAAGCCAGTCTTTCCCAACAGGTACCTTTCAGCTGTGCTCGACTACAACTCCCAACATCTCCCACCCAGATGGAGGGCACCTCTAGAGGCTACCAGGAAGGAAGAGGCTGCCATACACTGCCCTCCTGCACTTAGGTAAAGTCGATGCCACCGGCTGCCCAGAGGATGGCACTTGCCTTCCCGCAACTGCCCCTCGTTGGACAGCTGCTCAGCTTCTGGGCTGGCCCAGCCACCAAGCTGGCCAAGCCTCAGTGCGTGAACCTTTGGGCAGCCATGTTGCACGCACTCTTGCTTCAGGCAGCCAGCCAGTCACATCGGGCCAAGCCTGCAGGAGCAGGAGCATCATTTGCCACGGAGACGATGCAACCAAAGACACTTTCCCCCCAGCAGAGGCACTGCTGGGGGTGGGCCCATGGGTAGCCACTTGGTCCCTGTAGCTGGGCTCTGGATGTCCACTGGTGTCAGTGGGAGCTGAATTGCCATGCAAAGTAAGTTTCTAAGCGGGACTGTAGGTAGGGAGAGAAATTCACTTGTTCTGCATCCATAGGCTGCCAAACCCCACCCAAAAGAGCAGCACCACTAAATTTCCCTGCATGCTAATTCAGTTCGGAGAAAAATATTCCTTTCCATTTGTTTGAAATGATCCCGGCCAGCGTACAAATTAACGGAAGAGTTTATTTGAGAAGATTTGGATGAGATATTAATTGGCTGGCCTTTCTTGAGCAATTTAAATAAATGCTTGCAATTATTTCTAAATCTGCACATATTTGCATAAATTACCATATGCAGATTTTATCCTGATTTGGGTGCTACTGGTCTGGTGAGCAGGATGCTTCCCAGTAATAACTCCTCTTTCACCCATGTGATTAGGTCCATTTTGTCGTGAGTCTTCCATGTTCCAGGGAGCCAAATAGGAGTCTGTGGAGACTCCGCATGCGATGAACCTGGTTCATGGGGCGTGTGCCTCCAAACGTTCTTCCAAGGCAGGTCAGCACAGGGTTCCTTTTGCACACAGAACAGAAACAGCTGCACCAATTGTTCTCTGTTTCTGAGACATTTGATATGTCCTCTTTTTCAACATGGGAGGGGAAAGGAGGGGGGGAAATTTCTATTCATTTCTCAAACTTGGCAAGAAACAGCTCAGAATTCCTTCATAGCTGCAGCTGACTCAAGCAATCTTTTTTTGGGTCTTTCTCTCCCCAGCCTCAAGGCAATTTATGCAGTGGGTGTTCTAGGTCAGGCCTTCCATCATGAGGCGCAAGCGATTGTGCCCATGCTAACTATCCATGCAGAAAGTCCCAAGTTCGCTTCTGCACATCTCCTTTTAAGAAGGTGATCAAGTAGCGGGATCGGGAAAGACACCTCGGCTCCCCTACTCTTGCCCTGAGCCCCCAGTCAGAGTAGGACAGCATTGGCCTAGATGGACAAAGCAGACTGACCCCAGTATAGGGCAGATTCCAGTTGGGTGCCTGCTGGTGTTCACTCCATGTCCCTGAAGTAGCACAGCATGTATATTAAAATCAGGAAAGTGCCTGAAGGGACGGACTCCCAGGGCAGATGTCTGGGGTCCCACTCAGCAAGAAAGAGCAAGAGGCCACACAAGCAACAGGGCCTTCCAATCACATTCTGAAGGGAAATAATACACATGAGCATCTAAATGTACCACCTCATTCCTATCCTGGCAAAATCTAGACTTGAACATTTTAGCCTTGCACTACACATAACCACAAATGCATATAAAAGAAGGCATCTGCCAAATGCATGTGCACAATTTGTAATTCTGTTGTTCCCCCAGACACATTCCACCCTCTGTCACATGGCATCCCCCAAAGCACATCAGCCAGGCTGTGGAACCTCTTTCAGCCTGAGGGCGCAACTCAATTTTTTGAAGTAATTATTGGGGGCATCCCTGTGATGAGGAAGGTGGAAGGCAAAATGAGGTAGGGCCAAAGGCAAAAGCAGCATAGACTATTTGAGCTTAAGGTTCTTATTGCCAGTATCTAAGTCCGAGGAGGGATGCTTTGTCATTCAGAATGGGGCAAAAACAGCACAAAAGCTGAGAAGCTGCCCGGTGAGTGATGGTTGTGGGAAAGCAAGTACTGTCTTCTGCGCAACCCAACCCTAGGCAGGCCTGATTTGGCCTACAGTCCTAAGGTTCCACATGCCTGGCAGAAGCAATGAATGCAGGTTCTCCAAGGAGCTCCGTCCTGGCATTCCCCCTCCTAACACACACACACACACATTCAAGACCTCTGCAAGATACCCTGCTGACCTTCCCCACAGCTTACTTAGAGAGATGAGACTCCCAGCTGGCCAACTGCAGAGATTCAAAGCAAGCAAAGGGTTCCAGAATTCTGAACCCATGAAATGGGGGTGGGGGATTTGTTTCCTGCTGGAGCCAGATCTTTTCCTGCTTCCAGGAACAACAGACACACAGCCAGCTATAGCGTCCGGTTGACCACAGTCATCCCCAGTGCTGCCATTAACTCAGACTTTAGAAACATAGAAACAGAGTGAGTCAGAAGCGGTCTCCTAGGCCATCTAGTCTGACCCCCGGCTCCAGCCAGCTCATGACAGGCCTACCATGTGCATATCCAGCCTATGAAAGGTTTTAATTAGGTTGACTTAACTCTAGAGCATCTCTTGTTGCTGTTGAAATGCCAAATATTCAGAGAGTTATTTGAGGACCCATTAATGGTTGCTGTTCCATCTACCAGCAACCACCTTCTTGCCCTTGCCAAAAAAAGGAAGAAAGAAAAAGAAAAAAAGAAAAGAAAAGAAAAAAGGAGCTAGACGCTGTGGAAGGAGGATGGAGGTCACCTGGGAACCTACTAAGAAAGAGCAGCACCTGAAAAGCTGTAGGAGTATCTTGGACTTCCAAATGGCCACTGGAGAACCACTCATTGGAGACTGAGAGTGCTGAACTGGGGAGAAAGTCCTTACTCAGCCCTGAAGCTCAGTGGGAAACTTTGGGCCAGCCAGGGACTTTCAGCTGAGCCTATCTCACAGAGGTGCTCTGTGGTAAAAAGGAGTTGAGAAAGAGCATGCATGCTGCTTGGCGTTTCTTAAAAGAGGGGGAAAGTAGATATGAATGTAATAAATAAATATCACTTACAGCTAGGGTAAGTGGCTGTTTATATAATGGATTTTGATACTCTTTCCCAACAGACCAAAAACTGAAAACAAACAAACATGAAAAATAATTGCATTTCCAAATAGCTACTGAACTGTATTCAGATGGCTAGTGATACTGAATAATTACCTGTATGAAACACTAGAAGGTTCACAATTAATCACAAATAGCTGTAAGAGGCTGCCCCCTCTCTCCTAAAAGCCTGAAGATGCTTCTCTCCCTCTCCCCTGTCCTGTATAGGCAGTACTTGGTAGCCATGCGGTGCTCTTCATGAGTTTTCAAATAACTCTCTAAGTTAGATGTGAAACAGTCTTCCCCAAACTGGTGCTGTCCAGATGCGCTAGACTACAACTCCCATTACTCCTCTAGATTGGCTATGGATAATGTGTATTGCAATCCAACACATTTGATGGCTGCCTTACAACATCCTTGTGAAGGAGACTGATATTCGCTCCCTCTTTTGCCTTTCCTTCCACATTAGTTTGAGAAGATGGCATGTCACCTAATGAAAGCTATGATTCCACG